ATACATATACGTATATTAATTATTATATTTAAATAAAATTATAAATTTAAATTTTACATATGTGAGTCGTGTACATTTTTTTACTTGATTATATTATTCATAGAATATAATAAAAATATATATTACATAAAAACATATTTTTTCATATTTGATTTGTGAGTTATGTGACGTTGTGACAAACTGCATTTCTATCATTTATATTTAACCTTGAACCTTTGAATCAGTTCAGAATTTTCAAGCGCGTTAATTATGTAGCTTATCTACAGATCGTATGTTCGTAAACATATGAGTACATACGCGACTATTATCGCTTCTCTAACATTAGTGACCATTACTTATGTCAGCTTAAAAATACGATCGATGATAACTAAATAATTCGTAACATTTCTTGATTTCTCGACATTATTCTTTAAACTAATGATGAATTCAAAATTTGCAACACATTGGATTAGGAATTTGCGGAGAAGCAAAGACTATCGATATTTCGTATCAATATGAAATATGCAATACAACAATATATTGATTGGAAATGATTTGATATTCAGGAATATTGTTACTTTTTTTTGCATATTTTCTTATGTAGAGACATGCGGAGATCACAAACTTTCGATTTTAAAGAAAAATGAAAAAAAAATCACTAATTTATCAATAAAATTAAATAAATATTTTAGTAAATTTACATATACACACAAATGGTAATGGGAGACAGATTGAAAACTATGCATTTATACATTTTCCACAATACATATATTTGTCATTTTATACATATATTTGTCATTTTATACAGTCTATCAACTAACAAAGATAATGATAACAAACATAAAATTTCTTTTAATTTTATTCATGTCGTTAATTGTCCCCGAATTGGCATTCTTGTTACGTTTATGCGGTTGACTTTTGGAAATACAATTTTTTTTTATCGAATCAATTGATATTTACATTCTAGATCCGATATGCTACGATTAATTACGATACGGAAACTAAAAGTTTCGAATATCAAATATCGAATATCAAAAGGGATAATGATATGATTTTATATCATCTCTATTATATCACCTCTATACTGGATTAATATATTAAGGCCCAGTTACACCAATATCACTTTGATTTTAAGCGAAAAAAATTCTTAAAATTCTGTTTGTTTCGTTTTAAACCCAAAAAGAGACAGAGACAGATTTTAAGCCTTGCTTAAAATCAAAGTTGCGTTGGTGCAATCGCCTAAAAAGATTACTTTATGAAGTATCTGAATGCAGTAGCATAATATAATGAATTATGACAATGTGAAACGATACAGATTCTACAATATTCTATTTATTAAATAACAACAATATCATTATTGAATATTTAATTGTTTAAAATATTTAAATACTTTTACATTTAATTTGCACTTTGCTAATTTTATTACGTATAGTATTTTAGTATAATGCAAGTGACCGAATTCGCTATAATAAGATATTTTGCATCTAAGATATTACACCTTCGAACATGACATTTATATGTTATTGTGCACAATTATACTAATAAAAGGAGATATAGAGACTTATCTTAATTTTATTAAATATCTGTACTCGACAAAAACATAAATTTTTATTAGATGGTCCTATCATAATTATTTATTAACAAGCGTATTCTCTTCTTATAGTTAAAGGGATTTTTAACTAAACGTTGCATTTTTATAGAAATATTTACATAGTGTTTTTTTATTGAAAAATGATGAATAGAAAAATGCACGCGTTGTATTTGTTGTTTTTTTTCTTTTCTGTAAAATTAAAGAAATGTTGAGTGCAGCATTCTTTCCGGGAGCCTTTAATTTTTTTAAAAACAATTAGACAATTCGAATTACTTCGCGATAAATTATTTTTCTTGATGTTTTATATATTTTTTCAGGCGTCCGGGGTGTTGATGTTATGCATCGGAATATGGATGCGCATCCAATTGCGAGATTACATGAATATGAGCGTGCAGGGCAGCGGAGCTGCTCTATTGGCACTTGCAAGTTTAGGTGCGGTTTTAGCGGTCGCAGCGGTCCTCGCCTGTTGTTGCACTGCACGCGGTCATCCTGCTCTCCTGTATTTGGTAGGCATTCAATCTATTTCAGAATTCAGCAATCTATTATGATTTCATAACAATTAATGATTCGCACAAAGAATCAGCATACAAAATATTGAAATAGATATACGTGTATGTACACACTCTTATATAAGATTATAAATAGAATTCCGTCGTCAATTAAAATAGGCTTCAAGTTCCTCAGGAACGATAGGATAAAATTACAAATCGATACTCGATGTAATATCATTACATAAGGGGAAAGAGATTCTTAAGGAGAAAAACGTAGCTCTGCGTTGTTGTAGCATTATTATAGGTATATTAATAGATTATGTCGCAAATGTATGTAAATTTGCAAATCTGCAATAATTGGAATCATTTAATCGGTTAATATGCTGATCAGGGAAGATAATTTTGGCCTTGATATATGTTGTTAAGATCATGATCTGAGTGACCTCTAAATTTTAATTATTATTCGTTATTCATTAAAAAGTTATTAATCAAAAAAGTTTAAGAAATAATATTTCTGCTATATACAATATTACAATATTAAAAACTCCATATCCTCTCTTAAGGGGCATTGGATTTTCTATTCTAAGCGAATTTCACTTCATCTTTTCTCTTGTCTAGGGATGCACAACTTTCCGCGAAGGAAGGCCCATTCTATCTTCCCCCCTGCCTAGGGACGCATGAGGCAAAGGGGGAGATGAGGACCTCCGTTTCGCATGGAAAGTCTGATCCTAGACAGATCGAATGCAGAGTAGTTCTTAATATTGTATAAAACAGAAATAAGACATTATTTCTTAAACTTTTTTGTTAATAATTTTTTAACAAATGACGAGCGACGGCTCTTGGAGATCACTCAAGATCATGACCTTGACAACATATGTCAAGGTCAAGATCATCGGAGCGATCTCCTCTGATCGGCATATTTATCATCTCTAGAAATAGAGAGTCTCTGAAATAATTAATTTACCTTTATAATTCTTTTCTTTTTGTTTGCGTAGTACGGTGCGTTTCTAGCTGTCGTGGCTTTACTGGAACTCGGTGCGGGTGCATCGATTTATGCTTATCGCACGAGCTTGAACGAGGGATTTGATCAAGGTTTGAACGAGAGCATGGCTGCCTATGGACAGGACCATTCCAAGAGCAATCACATCGATACCATGCAATCAACTGTGAGTATCTCAATGTAGTGTTCTATTCTACCTTCAGTTATTCCGATTCCTGTCAATTCAATGTCGATTGTTCGAAACTGAATGTTCATATTTCACTATATGAGAGAAATTACGATAAAGTAAGAGATGAAACCTTACTCATTTTTCATTCCCCGTGACACAGTTGCATTGTATATTTGAAAAAAGTTAATCAATTACAGTTGCATTGCTGTGGCAATCGCGGTTATGTTGATTGGCTCAATTTGGATCCGCCGAAGGACGTTCCCTTATCTTGTTGCAAAGTGCTACAGAATAAATGCGACACATCGGATGTAGAGGAAATTTATACCGAGGTATATATTTTATTAATTACTTAAATTTTTGCAAGACAGAGAGAGAGAGAGAGAGAGAGAGAGAGAGAGAGAAAAGAAAAATATTTTACTTATATCAGGATGCAACATAGTGAATTATTAACATGTTCATTGTCTTGATATTCATGACATTTATGACGTCTTAATGATCATTGATGATGAACTAATGAAATTTTATTAAAAAATGCTTGTAAAAAATAAATATCTGACATAAATTTTTGAATGACGTGACTAGCTTAATATGTATAAAATACAAAAGATATAATTAAACATATTATCTATCAGGATTATTTAATTAGGGTTATTTAATTATTAGACAATATTTTATATATTATATGCATATTTTTCATAAAAATTCTATTATGGCGTACACAATAATAAGCCATAAATCTCATTGAGCAGACGTATTAAAATCTCTTGATTGCTATCTTATAATAATTGACAATTACAATCCATAAAAGAAACTAAGAAAGGAATATTAAATGCAGGAATATTAAATGCAGAAATTTAAAAAAATATAACGAATGTAGAAAATAGAAAAGAGAAAAATTAAAATGAGAAATTAGAATCAAATCTAATAAACAGTTTTTCCAATTCTTTTATTTCTTTGGAAGGAGTTTCTACAATTTTTTTATAATTCCTTTTCACAGGGATGTTACAATCGCTTACTGGATCTCATAAATAGCAACATCGGTCTGGTGGCCGGTACAGCGATCGGCGTAGCTTTTTTCCCACTAGTTGGTATCTTCCTAGCATGCTGTCTAGCTAGCAATATCAATAAGGCCGAGTACGAGCAAGTTGCTTAGGCATGGCATTTACGCAAACTGCAACGACGGTCCTATCAGAAAACAAAGCCTGTATCGCTAACGACAACGGCGAACATATATGATTTAATGAGAATACGGAAATGATCTCAATCGAGGCACACTATATCAATTCGATTTTAGTTCACAATTTGGTACAAAAATTAATTAAAAATATATAATATAAGGTCCACTTTTGTATATGAAGTTATATCTAAAATGGATCTTATACATAATTATGTATTTGCATTCTTGCATTGATTTTTGTTGTACTTAAGCCCTCGATTAAATTCGTGCTTTCATGTTCTGACTATGAATCATTCTAATCAAAATTAATATAAATCGATAATGTTATATCAAAGTATGTTTACTTAATACTGTTACAAGATGTAATAATCTTCTCATACATTTAGAATTTATTTGAAGATTAATCTTCAAATATATTTCGTACAACAATTAAAAAAAACATATACAGAACTTAATATACATAATACTTAAGATTTTTTAAACAAAGCATTTACAAACTAACATGTTAGCAGACAGAAGACGAAATATATTAATTTGAGACTAGTAGTCGCTGATGAATAAATCTCTTTGAATATGATTTATAAAACTTTTTTAAAGTTAAAAAAATGTATGAGAGATATCTAGATTATTGAATAAAACATGACATATTCTTTTGAAAGGATTAAATAACGTTGTAGAATGCGAACGACGCATGACTAGCATTTTTACGGATTAAAAATATGACTTGATTATTGCTAACATTAAAAATATCGAATCGCATTGTAAAAACTGAAAAAAAATTTTAATTTAGATATAAGTTCTGAAATTTGATAAAAATTAAATGACGTATGTATATATAATATATATTACGTATATATGTATATATACATACGTACATATATATGAAAATAGAACAAAACATAAAAATATGTCGACAGTCTAAATTATTATTTTTATCAACAGAATCACAATGCAAAGAATAGTAACGATAGAGTTCATTTCACGAATGTCTGTGTATGACAACGATATGATGCGACAGATAAAACAAACATTTTTGAATATTCTATGAATCCTTAGATATAGCAACAACTTTTTTTTTTCTCGGATCTTAGTCTCTTATAAACTCCTATTCCATAAGTCTTTAAATCTTTTTAACTCGTTAAATTCTTCACACTCTTAAATCTTCCATATTTCGCATTTTCCACTTCTTAAAAATTCTATATATTCTATCATTCTATGTATAATATTATATAAAATCACATGTACATCTATCTTCTACCTTCATCCGCCTTCAAATACTTAATCATGATTCATTGTGCGTTTAAAATCGTGGCTGTCCTTATTTCATATAAATTGACTTCGATTTTGCATTGAAGAAATAAAACTTAAAGTCAGACAATCAGCAGAATCAGTATTAAATATTAAATGGAAGTAACATATCCATTTTGAGTTATCGGACAAAAATAGCGAAACAAGCAAATATTTCCTTATTATAAAATTTTTTATTGTTTTATGTTCTATAAAATAATCTGAGAATTAATTTAATTTAGTTTTAACTTTTTTTGTGAAATTAAAAAAAATATATATATAATAAAAAAATA